ACCAATGTTGCAAATGTCAAATGCACGTCAAATACTAGTATAAAATGTCCAAAAAAATGTCCTTTAAATTTGTAAAATATTGAAAATAAGAAAAAACAATTTTGTCGTAAATGTCTAATACTTGTAGAAAATGTCAAAACTTGTTTTATATGTTGGAAATTGATTTGAATTCTTCTAAATTTGTAAATGATTGAAAAAAGTTGTTGTGAACGTTTGTCATAAATGTAAATTACATGTCTAATTCGTGTATAAAATGTCAAGAAATATCTAAAATCAATTTAAAAGAGTCTGGCAAGCCCTTAGCATCAAATATCAAATACATGTCTAATACCTGTATAATATGTCAAAAACGTGTATAAAATATCTACAATCATTTCAAAATGATCTTAGAAGGTTTTAAATTTGCAAACAGTTGTAAATGAAAATAGACAATTATGTCGTAAATGTCAAATACATGTATAATAGCCACAGAAAATGTCATAAACTGGCCTGAAATATTTTAAATCCTATTGAAATGTTGTGGAACTTAGTTTACTTTGTAAATTATGAAAAAAATTGAATAGAAAATGTTGTCGTAAATGTCAAATACGTGTATAATACTTGTATAAAAGGTCATAAATCGATCTAAACAATATAAAACGCACTTAAAATATTCTGGGAGATTTTAATATTGTACTGCTTCAACAGTTTTGTTACACGAATGTGTCGTATAGGTCAATTACCTGTCTAAAACTTGTCGAATATATTTGAAACACTTTTGCAATGATCCAAAGATCTGATAAATTTATAAAATAATCAAAAAGGAAAATATACAAATTTGTCGTAAATGTCTAAGACATGTAAAAAACTGTCAACAACAGTATGAAGTCATGTATAAGTTAGAAAATTTTATTGAAAATGTACATTAAAGTTTTTATTGTTGCAGATAATTAAAAATGTTAATGTCAGAAACTTGTATAATATGTCGTAAATGTTTTATTGCTGTAGTAAAGGTCTTGGGCTTATGTAAAAATATAAGTGAAGCTTCCGACATGATTTTCTATTAAAAGTTAGGTCTAAATTACGATATAAAACTGTCGGGAATCCATAGAAAATTCGCTATGAAGGCTTAGAAGTCGCAGGATCAACTGTAAATCTGTATATAAAATATATTAACCTAAAAATAAATTTTCTATAAAATGAGCAATTACTTAAAAACCCCCAACTAAGCAAAAATGTTCTGTAAAAATTATTTGTGTCTTCCTTTTACTCATTGATTTCCTTTCATTCTTATTGATTCCAATCTCATTGAAATCTTATCGTATATTTTCAATTCATGGTCTTGCATATTTCTATTTGCTGATTTCTGTTGTATGGCAAACGTGTTGATATTATCAGCTTTTAGTAACAAAATCCACTTTAAATCCTCTTTAGTAAAGGAAGAGAAAGAGAGAGAACACTAAACATATCCATGATTGCTGCATAATAAGCCATCAGCAACAGGATTTTAGTTTTTCTTGCTACTGGAAAATTCTACCTCAGTTAGTGGCCAAACTGAGATTCTTCGCCATGACATGCCACAGATGCTGCACAAAAGACCAAGTCAACCAAAGTGTTATAGCGGGTTTGTTGTGTTGGGTAACAAGATTTTTCATTAATTTTAAATGAACTTCTTTCCACACAGTTTGTGGCTGTTGTGTAAGTTGAAGAGGAGGAGGAGAGGAAGTGAGGTGGAGAAAATTTGCAGGATGCCTTTTCCAAAAAACATTATGCTTCAGCTGCTTTGTGAACCAGGTTGCAATAAATTTGCTTAAATGTTTGGGCATCCTATGTTACATAGGACACAGAGAGGGATAGAGAGTGAGAAAGAGATAGAGAGAACCTGCATTGCTGGGAAATATTTCACCCAAAAAAAACATTTGGCCACTGCTCTGCTTGTTTTCAAGTTGGAAATGAATGCAAGCCGTTTTAGCCAAAAGGTATTACCGTCACATGTATCATTTGTGTTAGTTGGTTGTCCTTTAGACTAAGCCAGATGCATGCAGCACAGCAGCCATTTTGTGTGCATATGTGCAAGTATTTGTGTGTGTGTGAGCAGCAATGTCTTTCATTTCATTCACTCTCCTAGTAATTTGGCCTTAGTCCAAAAAATATGCCAACAAAGCAAAGAATCGTGTCAAAGTATGGTCGATCTGTTGCCACCATGAACATCATATGGTGGCATTTCATTTCCTTTATGTAACGGTATTATTTTCTTCAATTGGGTATAATGTGTTTGTTATACGGTTTGGGACAGACATGGGGAAAATTATTTGGATTGGGGGACATTTTGTCGCTCAGAACCATACCAGGACATTCCAAATTTTTATAGAGAGGAAACCTATAACCTTTCCTTTACAATAATTTAAATATATTTTACTTGGAGTTATGGTTTGGACATTAGTTTGAAATTTAGCACTGATCTCCGTAAAGTTATATGAAAATTTGCGGGAACCTAGTCTATTCACAAGCAAAACTATAAATCTACAAACACCTTCCACAACAACCCTTCAAAAAATGTTTAATTTCTTTCGAATTAACAAATTACTGCAAAATGGAGACTTGTTATCGAGATATCTATTTGAAAATTATCACAGACTTCGAAGAGGATCTCCTAAATGTGATTACAAATTTCTCAGGACCTTATCCATACACAAGCTAAACTATGAGCCCGTAAATTGACAACCTTCCTTAATATTCCTTTAAACTCTATTTTTTTCTGTTCGAATTTGAGATGGAGAAAATTGCGGCAAATCGTATACTTCTTATGGAGATATTTATTTTAAATTTGACATAGTCAGAGTTAAATAGGTCCAAAATGTGTGTGCAAATTTATAGAAACCTAGTGTAGAACCAAGCGGAGCTACTAGTCCCTGAACCACATCACCTTCCATATCAGCCGTTCATCATTTCTTTTTTGTTTCAGGCAATAGAATGGAAGTATTTATGTTTAATCCTGGGCTAAATATTGAAATATCTATCTGAAAATTATCATAGGCTAAGTCGAGAAGTTCTCTGAGGTGTATGCAATTTTTTGAGATTCCAGTATATACACAAGCAGAGCTATGCATGTCCAAAGTTAGCAAGTACCCTAAAAACGCTGAAAATCATTTTTCCGTATTCAGGTTGAGGTGGGTGAATATGTGGCAAATCGAATAATTATGGAGTTATAGGTCTGAAATTTTGCATAACGTAAGCCGACATATTGATATGGGTCTCTGCAATTTTTTTAGAATCCACTGCATACACAATCGAAGCTATACGTCTCTCAAAAGGTCACATATAATATTTTCAATTAAAATGTTCGGTTGGAAAAATATGTGTCAGATCGTGGTCTATTTTTTGAGATATCTACCTGAAATTTTGCCCAGATTCCGACTAGACATTTCTAAAAGGACTATAACCTAAGACCCACATAAGTGAAGATATTAATCCACAAATTCATTCCCTACGAACAGACACTTCAAAACAAATTTTTTTATGTCTTCAAAGTATCGAAGATTTATATTGGTCCGATCGTGGACTTGTTTCTGAGATATTTATCTGAAATTTTGTATAGATTCCGACGAGTACATCCTAAAAGGGATGTGCAAGTTTCTAGGAACTTAGGACCTGCATAGGCGAAGCTTTTAATCCACAAATTCATTCTCTACGAACAGATGCTTCAAAACAAATGGTTTATGTTTTTAAAGCAGCGCGGGCTTATATAGGTCAGAGGGTGGACTTGTTTTTGAAATATCAATCTGAAATTTTGCATAGATTTCGACGAGGGTTTTCTATAGGGGATGTGCAAATCTCCATGAACCTAACACCCGCACAAGCGTAGCTATAAGCCGTCAAATGTATTCCCCTACTAACATACCCTTCAAAACGATTTTTTTTTATGTTGTTAAAGTATCGAAGGTCAGATAGTGGGCTTATTTTTGAGATATCTATCTGATATTTTGCATAGATGCCAACGAGGTCTTCCTAAAGATGTGTGCAAAATTTTAGGACCTTAGCATCTACCCAAGCGGACCTATGGGCTTATATACATAAGCATCTCCCTCTAACAGACCCTTCAAAACCTATTTTATTTTTTATGCAAAATTGTTAACATATTTTGGAAATATCGATCTGAAATTTATCATAGCCTAAGCTGAGGTATACCTCAGGGTGTGTGACAATTTTTGGGGACCCAGAGCATACAAAAGCAGAGGTATGAGCTCATACATACGACGATCTTTGTGTAAGGCTACCAGAATTCGATCCATGTTTTCTTTTCGAATTTTCATGTTCAGTCTCTCCCATCTGTTTTTGTTGTTTTTTTCTCCTTTGTTTTGGCCTTTGTCATTAGTTTCCTAAGATATCACATCATACTATCCACCTCCAACACCTCTTATGTGTATGTGTGCGGGTGTTTGGTTGCCTGTTATTAGAATGTGTTTAAATATTTATGGACGTCATTCAATGGGACCCACACGAAACATGAATGGACCCGTTCCATTTCACTTGTTTCAATGGAATTGTGGTCGTTGTGATTAGAAGGAGGTGGAGGATGACTAAAAATAATCTAAGGAAAAACAAATGACCGGCTTAAGGGCAACATTTCTTTTGGTTTTAGATTGCAATTGCACAAAACTTAGACAAATAGAATACACAACACAGATGGCGAAGCCTTGAAGTTTGAGGTCCATTCTGATTATTATTTACACAAAAAAGAAAAAAACGACAAAAATGCCCCAACAGAACAAAAAATGAAAGAAAAAGAAAAAATCTGATGGATGTTAAGGCAAAACAAACATTTAATGGTTTTCTTATATACATTTTAATGACTCTCTTGGGTATGGATGGCTGGTTGGTTGGTTGCTTCGTTGGTTAATGAGGTGATGCGTATGTCTCTCCAAGAAAAAAAGTTACTTAATACTTTTTACACTTGCCACTTGGTGTCAGTGTCGCAAGTAATTTCTTAACGTTCACACCTGTGCTCCAAAGCCCTCTTAATGTTTTGTCGCCGCTGTTGGTTGGATTTCAAACCCAAAGACAGTTATATACAATGTTCGGGTCCGTGTGCCTGGTTCTATCACAATCGCTGCGTTCAAATGCCAGATGAGGTGGCACGCCAGATGTTGCACAACAAAGAGCTTGAATGGTATTGTTGGCAGTGTCGTCAATTGTATCGTTTGCAGTTGTATTTTGAGGTAAACAAAAATCAAAAATAGAATACCTACCTCCGCAACCTTTCTCCCTCTATTTATTCGCTCACCCACAAAAAAACATTCTGAAGATTATTCAAACGAATGATGTGTATGTTAGACCTTGACATTTTGTACAGAAAAGGGCTTCTCATCATAAAAGAATGAGCCAAGCAACTCGTGCAATATATAAAATGCGTTTCAAGTGTAAATTTATTTTTATAATACATTTTAAACTCTCCCTCCTAACCTCCTCACCTTCTTAAAACGCCATTATTTTTTGCCACCATTAATTCACTGCCAGTAGCGTAGGGTAGCTAGCAGAATTTGACCTTCAACTTGAAAAATGTCTTAACCCAAAGGTGTGCTGCTATTGTATGTGTGTATGTGTGAGTGTCAAAACACCATGGAAAATAGAAACTTGTGAAAAGAGCAAACAAACCTTTTAACACGACATGCCAAAACACTTGTCTCTTAATATCAAATTTGTTGTAGTTTTTGAATAAAAAAACTCTAATGTTGAAATTCCTTTGTCAGTGATTGATGGCAGGATATGTGAAAGTTGTTCAGAAATAATAAGATTGATTGGTTTAAAGTTTTGAATAAAAAAATTAACGACATGTAACATATTGGAGATAGTGTAATATGTAAAAAAAAAATAAAAAACAAAACAAAACCGAGGAAATATTCGGAAATATTAAAAAACACATTAGGGGAAAAATATTGATTTAAGTGATAAAGTCCTTAGGGAGTCCTTTAGAAAAGTAAGGTGAAATAATTGATGGAATACAAATATTCACATGAAATTTAGTACAGGTAACACAGAGGTGTGTGTCACATAACATGTACAATTTTGGGACCCTACATACTTCGAGAGCCAAGTTATGAACCTCTACCTTCCACAACTCAACCTGTAGAATCATAACTTTATTTATTCAACAAATTTCGAAATTTGTTCCTACAAGAAAATTATTCAATGAAAATATTTTCCCAAATTTTTATATTCTAACTTTATTTATGTATAATATAATAGTTGTAAAGAGAAAAAATTAAACCCGTAAATATATCTTCACAAAATGTTATATTCTTGCTGTTTGAGGTCTTTACAAAACCTATACAAATTTCTAGTTCCTTTGGAAGTTCCGCAGCAAAGTTATGAACCAATAAATTGATATATACAATGATATACCTTTTGCTGTATGTAGGATATAAGATTAAATACCAAAAGAAAAATAATTGAAGAAAAGGAGATATTTTGACGAAACTTAGCACATACTACCTTAAGACCTTCTTCTAACTCTGAGCAACATTTTGGAACTCGAGGCAGTTCATAAGCCAAGTTATGAACCCATGAATATCATCATACTCATTTCGATGATCAAAGCTTTTTTTGTGTAAGTTTAAACATGAGGTTGAAAATGACCGATATAATGGAGATATCTATATGAAATTTGACACAAACTATTGCGAGATATCCTAAAAACTTTTGGGCAAATGTATAAGAATCTAACACATTCAGAAGCTAAGTTATGAACCCAGAGATATAGTTACCACAGTTGTTGTCATTCAATTTAGCTCGCTTTACATGCGGTAAGTACTTAAAAACTAACACCAAACTTATTGACAGAACCGAGTTATCTTCCCGAAATTTGGTACATATAATCATCAGATTCTTCTTTAATAATGTGCCGAATTGTAAAATAGTCGTGAGTTCCCTAGCCGAGTTATGAACCATATAAAATACTTACAATTCAATTGTGACGCCCATGGCTATTTTTAAGCAAGTTTAACCATAAGATTCAAAACTATCGATATAATTGTCGTATCTTCATGAACATTTACATAGACTATTTCCAGATACCCTGTCAGATACGTGCAAATTTGTAAGAGCATACCTCTTTCAGAAGCGGAAGTTATGAACCCATATATTAAGTTCCTACAGTCTTGTCCAATTGGTTTAGAAAGCTTCACGTTCGGTATGCAATTGAAAAATAAGGCCAAAATAATTGAAAAGACCAAGATATCTTATCGAAATGTAACATAGTCAATCTTCAGATGCCTCTCTAATTATATGCCAAATTGTGAGATAATCGAAAGTTCGGAAGCTGAGTTATGAACCATAAAACTAAGCACAATTAAATTATGATGCCCATAGCTCTTTACGGTCAAGTTTAAATTTAACCTGTAAAATTATGGATGTAATTGTCGTATCTACCTGAAATTTAACACAGACCATTTTTAGATACCCTGCAACATGTGTGCAAATTTGTGAGAGCATTCCTCTTTCAGAAGCTAAGTTATGAACCCATATATTAAGTTCCTACAATATTGTCCACTTGGTTTAGCAAGCTTCACGTTCTGTATGCAATTGCAATCTTTACGGGCAAGTTTAAATTTAAGCTGCAAAATTATGGATGTAATCGTCTTATCTACATGAAATTTAAAACAAACCATTTTCAGATACCCTTTTAGAAACGTGCAAATTTCTAAGAGCATACCTCTTTCAGAAGCTAAGTTATGAACCCATATATTAAGTTCCTACAGTATTGTCCATTTTGTTTAGCAAGCTTAAGGTTTGATATTCAATTGAAAAATGTGGGCAGAATAATTGAACGGACCGAGATATCTTCATGAAATTTAACATAGACAATCTTAAAATGTTTCTCTAATTATGTGCAATTGTAGGATACACATGAGTTCGGAAGCCGAGTTGTGAACCATAAAACTAAGCACAATTAAATTATAATGCCCACAGCTCTTTACGGGCAAGTTTAAATTTAAGCTACAAAATTATGGATGTAATTGTCGTATCTACATGAAATTTAACACATACCAATTTCAGATACCCTGTCAGATGTGTGTAAATTTGTAAGAACACAACTCTCTCCGAAGCTAAGCTATGAACCCATTAATAAAGTTATCACAGATGCGTCAATATAATTTAGTTCAGTTTACGTGAGGTATGTAATTAAGAACAGAGTTAAAAATAGTTGAAGGAGCTGAGCTATCTTCATGAAATTTGAAACAGACAATCTACAGATATTTCTCTACATATATGCCAATTTTTTTAATACTCTGGAGCCCAAAAGTCAAGTTATGAACCTATTATATGGCTTTTGGGATGCTCACAACTTCATTTATTTAAGGAAGATGTAATTGAGCTATCCTCATGAAATTTAACATGAACTCTTTCTAGGCGCTTCGCATTATGTGTGTAAATTTTTAAGAACATAGAGCTATCAATGAGCTGATGTTAATTTGGTACAGGCTTTAAATCTCAGCAGAGGAGAGAGAATATTCGAACATATCTAAAATAGATTATACTTTCTCTGTAGATAAAATAAATCCGGCAGATAAATAACAAAATGGTAGAAAAATACAAAATAGGTATGACATATGATGGCGGCACCCAGACGAACATGTCAAAACTAAATAAGTAAGGATCCCAACCACCCAGATCAAAATGGCAAAACTAAATAAGCAAGGAACCCAACCACTGCCCAAAATGCTGGGAGACGATAGATGGCGCCACCTAGACTAACATGTCAAGCAAGGATAGTTAAGCAAGGATCCCAATCATTGCCGAGAAGTTAAAGATGTGTGTTTTCTAGGCAATGATAGATGGCAGGTTCAGCACTTTGGACAGGCTACAGCGGATAAATCATCTACTAAGCGAAATAAGTCAATGAATAACGCGTTCTCGCCACTCAGACGAAAATGGCAAAACTAAATAAGCAAGGACCCCAACCACTGCCCAAAATTGTAGGAGTCGTTGTTTCTAGGCAACGATAGATGACAGCCTCAGCATCCAGGATAGGCTATAGCGGATCAATGACATAGTTAGCTGAAATAAGTCAATGAATAACGTATTCTCGTCTTAAGAAATATCATAAATCCCATTATCATATTTGATTTTTCAAATATCAAATAAGTTGTCAACTAGTCTGCTTAAGGGCTTCCTTTAGCACATAATCTCATAAAGACAAAACCGTTTATTGCCTTCTCCATATTCATAAAAATTATAATTTATATGCCTTTATTATATTACCAATTGAAAAGAAATTCTTAAGACATGGCCATTTTTCAAAAATAAAAATTCCACGGCCATAGAAAAAAATTCTTTTCATGGTTATGAAAAATATTTGTGAGAAAAAAACTTGGCATTGTTTTCACCCACCCTTTTCTAAAAAAAGGAATGATAATTATTTTCTTGAGAAACATTTTAACAGGAAGGCATATCAAAATTACCCTCTTCCCTTTGGCACATTGTTATCCTCATCATCGTCATTATTTTAATGCTAAGCAGCTGTTTAAGAAAATAAGACCTCTCCAAAAAAAAAAAATGGAAAAGTAGAAGAAAAGGCTGGCAGACTTCTAAGAAGGAAAACAACACACAAAAAATGCTTTTAAGGCACACACACACACATACACACATAATGAAAATATGAATAATTTCTTTGGAACTGCTTTTATTTGGTGGCTGAGCGCTTGAGGCCAAACCGGAAGCATTAACGTAAAGTGAAGTATGAGCCTGTTGGCCAAAGTTAAAAACGTCTAGGATCATTATTACAAAAAAAGAGAAATACTTTTACTTTCGCGGGCACAACAAGAAATAAATATCCTCAACAGGAATGCTGAACATTTTTTGGTCGCTTTTAGTTGGGCGCCATTGAAATCCATTCCTTTTGGATTCTTCTTTTTTGCTTATCAAAAGGTTGTGTGTGCTTATCATTTTGTTGTGTCTCATCTGCTGACCTTCACGGAGGTAATATTACTCTCTTCAATGAAGGATGTTGTTTTGTTGTCTTCTTACATCCTTAAAGCTGTTTTGTTGTTTCAGGTTTCCTTCTCTTCGTGGGTTCAAACATTTTGTGTTAATGGCAAATCATTTGTTTTTGTCTTAGCTGATTTTGTTTTCCCTGCTGCTCCTGTTTGTGTGCGGGAGGAGTGGTGGCTCTACGTGCTTAACTTGTGAGATTTAAGGATTATTATTTTTGTTTTTTTTTTTTTGCTGGGCTACATGACTATAATAATAAAGACACGATGTAAAGGAAACCAAGAGGGTGATGGCCTTAATGGCATTATGTTGTTGTTGTTGGTGGTGGTTGATTGTCTTAAGTGGTGGCGTATATCGCAAATGCTGATGATGATGATTATGATGAGCCTGTTTGTTAATGCTTGAAGTGTACATGCGGAATATGTTTAATTATTTGGTACAAAACAATTTACAAATTACTTAAATGTTTTTTTCCTGTCATCATATTAATTTTCTCTCTCTCTCTCTTGTTCTTTTTTTGTCTCTCTCCGTAGATTGCTATCTGTGATGATTATAGTCTGCCCGTGGACTTTGTTAAAAAGCGACCGTCCAGTTTTGATCCCTGTCTAGCTGAGGCATTACCCACCAATCCAGAAAATTGGGTAGCTGCCAGTCCACAACAGGAATTTGTAAGTAGTAGACGATTTATTCATAAATTATTAATTTTTTTTTTAATTCATGCCTTGGATTTTTAAAAAATCCACGCCTTCGAAAAAAATTATTTTTAGAAAAATCCACGCCTTCGAAAAAAATTATTTTTAGAAAAATCCACGCCTTCAAAAAAAATTATTTTTAGAAAAATCTACGCCTTCGAAAAAAATTATTTTTAGAAAAATCCACGCCTTCGAAAAAAATTATTTTTAGAAAAATCCACGCCTTCGAAAAAAAATTATTTAAAAAATCCACGCCTTGTGTGGGTCTTGGAAAAAATCCGCCCCTTGTTTGGGTCTTAGAAAAAATTATCCACACCTTGTATAAACCTTGAAAAATCTATTTAAAAGATCCACGCCTTGTATAGACCTTTGAAAATCGATTTAAAAAATCCTGGCCTTGTATAGACCTTGGAAAATCTATTAAAAAATCCACGCCTTGTATAGACCTTGGCCTATTACAGGTTTATAAGTAGCCAGTCCTTCACGATACTGATTTCGTTCTTTAATATTTTATCGATTTTTTTACAAAATTATTGAAATCGAATTTATGTGTCTGCACCTTCCCCACCTCCTCCCCTAAGTCTTCCTTCATTTAATCCATAAATGATGCACTTATGAAATGAACGAGAAAATAAACAAAAAAATTGGCTTCATGCCTACAACGAACGCCGTTCAATATTTTTCGATGAAGTAAATAATCCAATATGAAATGAGTAGTCACTTTTACTTCTTCCTATTTTTATTTGAGGCTCACATGGTGACACACCATAAACATTCTGCAAAGCCATTATTATTTTCTACAAAAAAAAAAAACATCAACTGAAAAAATCTTTGATTTTCTTTGTTGTTGTTGTGGATTTTTTGCCTAGATTCTTGGCATATAAAATGTCATAAAGTCATAAATGTTTTCGTTTTCGATTTTTTTCATCATCGACTGTGGTCGCTGCTGTTGATGGAAAAAATCATTTTCAAGGGCTGATGCTTAGGAAAAAAAAACATTGCAAAAAACTGGAAAACGAAAATGAAATTTAGAAAATCCATGGCTGAAAGGAACGTAAATATTTTCGTTATTTTTTTTTTTTTTGCTGCCATTTGTGTTTCCAATATTAATGGGGGGATTTAACAACGCCAATACACATGAACACTCGCCTCAATTGAACACATGAGGCTTAGTCGTAACAGCCCCCTGGTAAACTGACAAACAGCATTTTGAAATGTTATTATAAAGCAAGTGTGTGCTGCTTCAGGGGGAACATGTGAAGGAACATGAGCAGGAGAGGGAGTGAGTGATGATAGACAAGCTATTAATGACTTTAACTTGACTTTAAAGATCAAAAATATTTGTTAATGGCAAACAATTATGATACGGTCCACGGGGAGAGGTTTTCAAAATCTTGAGGAATATCAATACATTTTCATAAGGAGCACCTGATTTTTTTATTTCCAAAATTCCTCAAAATATATTTTTTGCCTTATGCTACAGGTATAACCCGCATTAAAAAAAATATTTCATTTCAAAACAAACTCAGCAAATTTTCCGCCTAAATACCAAATTGAAGATTTATTTCCCAGCCGTGAAAAATCTGACAGGTTCCTTGTTTTCCTTTTCGGATTGTCATTGATCTGATTTCCAACCTTTTACCTTTACAATATTTATGTTCCATTAGGGAAGTTCGCCAATGATAAGATAGCTCAAATGTTTCCACCATTGTTATCGTAACTTTATGGCCCATTCAATAGGCGGCAGAAAAAGAATCATTATTTTTTCTATCAACGTAGCTGGAAGTTAAATGGAAATAAAAAACACAACATACGCACACACACACACGCACACTCATGCAATCATAAAAATGACAACAATTTTCAATATCATCAACGGTATTTAGCAGGGACTGTGGGTTAGGGGGGAAGTGAACAGAAAATAAAAAGTAGCGGGGGTATTAGACTTTGGATAGGCCATGGAAAAAAATTATTAAAAAAATTCACGACTTAAATAGGCCTTAGAAAAAACTATTTAAAAAATCCACACCTTCGATGGGCCTTGGAAAAAATTATTTCAAAAATCCACGCCTTATATAGGCCTTGGAAAAAATATTTTAAAAATCCGCGCCTAAGATATGCCTTGGAAAAAATTATTTAAAAAATCCACGCCTTATATAGGCCTTGGAAAAAATTATTTAAAAAATCCACGCCTTATATAGGCCTTGGAAAAAATTGTTTAAAAAATCCATGCCTTAGATAGGCCTTGGAAAAAATTTTTTAAAAAATCCACGCCTTATATAGGCCTTGGAAAAAATTATTTAAAAAATCCACGCCTTAGATAGGCCTTGAAAAAAAATTATTAAAAAAATCCACGCCTTAGATAGGCCTTGAAAAAAAATTATTAAAAAAATCCACGCCTTAGATAGGCCTTGAAAAAAAATATTTAAAAAATCCACGCCTTAGATAGGTCATGAAAAAAAATTATTTAAAAAAAAATTAAAAAATCCACGCCTTAGATAAGTCTTGAAAAAAAATTATTTAAAAATCTACGCCTTAGATAGGTCTTGAAAAAAAATTATTTAAAAAATCCACGCCTTAGATAGGCCTTGAATTTTTTTAAATCCATGCCTTGCCTTGGAAAAAATCTTTTTAAAAATTCATGTCTTAGAAATTCACCCAATTTTCCCCTTTCTTCACCCACTGTTCACAAACAATCCCGAACTGACAATAATGATGATAATAATAACAAAAAACAACAACAATGCCGCTGATGATGATGACTAAGCGTGTCTGCCATAACTTATACGCCTCGTGTACCTTGCCAATGGTGGTTTACATTAGTAAAAATGTGTGTGTGTCTGTACGTTTGCCTTTGTGGGCATTTGTATTAGAGAGAGAGTCTCGTGTGTGCACTTTTTTCTCGTACATTAATAATGGTTGCGTAGACAAGCTACTACTCCAACTACAACTTCGTTTAACAACAACAACAAAAATCCTTATATCGTGGTGGTATCGTGGCATTTTTTTTGGGTGGCTTGCCACCCAATGCGATGTGCGGAGAAGGTTTTATGAAAAGCTGCATGTGGTAGGTTTCTTTGTTGTTGTTATTATTATTTTTTGCCTGCCTGCCTCTCTGTGTATTATTGTTGTTGTTGTCGCTGCTGTTGTCGTAGTAAAATATGCGTAATTTTATCTCATGTACGCTATGTTCGTTTGATATTGTTGTGTTCGTTCGTTCGTATTGATGCTGTTGTCGTTTTTTTTTTGCTGCTGAGCCTGCTGTTGTTGTTTTGTTGTTGTTGTTGTGATATTAACGTATAAAACATCAAGAGTGAAAACGTGCACAGCGTATGACGTTGTTGGCATTAGTGGGGACCATTGCTATGAATGACTGTTATGTCTGTGTGTGTATGCGTATATGATGGTTATGGCTACAAACGTCAGAACATGAACACCATGGGGTGCTATAAACAACAACAGTCAGCCAGCCAGCCGAGGCATGACACTGGAAAAAAGGCGGCATTTTACAAATAACAGCTAACCGGCAAAGAACAACAATAACCAAAAAAAATGGGAATATTTTTTTTAAGCCAAATACAGAAAATAACACAAAAATCAGTAGCAAAACCTAGGAAATAAGTCTAGCACGTAAATGTTGTTGTGAGGGGGGGTGGGTTTCCCGTTTTTATTAATTTCAATAAAAATAACTAAAAACATACACACATGTACACACATACAAACAAACCAACATTATGTGAAATTGTATATGTGTAGTACTCAAGACATGCATACTTCTAAACATTCTCAGACGGGTACTTCAGAGTCGAACATAAAACTATATAAAGATGCTTGTGTTGTATTGACGTTTATTTCTCTCTACTTGAGATTTATGTGTATGTTTTTTTAATATCTGCTCATAAAAAAATACATCCTCGTCATCTTCATCATCATCATCTTTCTCTTTAGGATATAAATATTTACTATGTTCTACATGCTAAATGCTAGCTCTCATCGGGTTTTCTCAAGAGCTCATAATTCATGGGAAAAAATATTTTGTGTTTAAATAATATTTCGAAGTGTGTGAAAAAGTAAAAGGGGTTAAGTCACATTTCTTTAAAAAAGAAATAAATAAACATGTTTATATTTAAATCTCCGCTTGGATAGGTCTTGGAAACAATTATTGAAATAATCCACGCCTTGGATAGGCCTTGGAAAAAAATAATTTAAATAATCCTCGCCTTGGATAGGCCTTGGAAAAAATTATTGAAATAATTCACGCCCTGGATAGGTCTTGGAAAAAATTTATTTAAATAATCCACGCCTTGAATAGGTCTTGGAAAAAAATATTTAAATAATCCACGCCCTGGATAGGTCTTGGAAAACATTATTTAAATAGTCCACGCCTTGGATAGGCCTTGTAAAAAATTATTTAAATAATCCACGCCCTGGATAAGTCTTGGAAAAAATTATTTAAACAATCCACGCCTTGGATAGGACTTGGAAAAAAATTATTGAAATAATCCATGCTTTGGATAGGCCTTGGAAAAAATTATTTAAATAATCCACGCCTTGGATAGGCCTTGGAAAAAGAATATTGAAATAATCCACGCCTTCGATAGGCCTTGGAAAAAGAATATTGAAATAATCCACGCCTTCGATAGGCCTTGGAAAAAATGATTGAAATAATCCACGCCTTGGATAGGCCTTGGAAAAAATTATTGAAAAAATCCGCGTCTTGGATAGGCCTTGGAAAAAAAGTATTGAAATAATCCACGCCTTGAATAGGCTTTGGAAAAAATTATTGAAATAATCCACGCTTTGGATAGGCCTTGGAAAAAATTATTTAAATAATCCACGCCTTGGAAAAATTTATTGAAATAATCCACGCCTTGGATAGGTCTTGGAAAAAATTTATTGAAATAATCCACACTTAGGAAAAATTATTTAAAAAATCTACACTTAGATAGGCGTTGGAAACATGTATTTAAAAATGT